GTCTGCCATGCTTTTAGCTATTATAAACAGACGCCACACAAATCATCTGCCTTGTTTCACTGCTGCAGCATCTCCAGCTTCTGTCCTAAAAGAAAACCTTATTTATTTGACAAGAAGAATCTCACATTTTGGCATAAGTTGTCTTTCCAATGGTTGTTGTTTTCAACTAGTTATTTGCTTTTAGCTGATTTGTGCGTTGTCGAATAAGCAGGCTCCAATCTAGTTTTCCTGAGTAAATTATTTTTGTTGCTCTTCTACACAACCAGTACAATTTGGATCCTACACAGGTGTCAGCTACCATACAGACCCCTGAAATGTTGATGCTGATGAAGCTACCAGTTTTCCCCAAGTAAGCAAACAGGCCATGCTGGGGAAGCATTACAAGGGCAGAAGACTAAGCTAGTGATCTGCTCCAATTAGTACGTGGTTGCAATATTACTACAGCACAGCAATAGATAAATCTGATAGTGACTTGAGAGTATTTTAGTCAGTCTCCTCTCTTCATCCATAAGGACTACTTAATAATATAGGTGGCAGATTGTTAGATGTTACAAGTGCCCTTGAAAAAAATTAGATTTGCTCTCAGAATGCTCAGACACATATTGACTATTGAATTTCTACAGTCTGAGGTTGCATCAGTTATAATATCCTCACTCTGTCACGGAAGTCTGAAAATTATGGGAGCCATATGAGCAGAAACACAAATTGCATACATAACACAGTTTTCTTTAATTCTGTCCATTGCCATTTTTAATCCCTTCCCCAATGTCTTGAAGCTCTATGCGTTTGCATTAAATTTTATTAGCACTGTCTGTGGAAATTAAGAAAGATTTAAAGGGATAAGCAAATAAACATGCCCCATTCATGTGTGATTTTTGGAGACTGTGAAGGGGTATGCTGTTGTGTGGCCTCTGGGCCATCTGGATGTGTTACATGAGAATGGGGCGTGCTTTTGCCCAGTTTTCTGAGGCTGCAGAAGCTGCGGAAGATCATTCTCCAAAGTTGCTTCAAGAATGAAGGCCTAGTATGATTTGGATATGACAGCTGCAAGGGCCTCTCAATAGAAAGAGAGGACCGCCTGAAGTAAGCGGTGCATGATGGATCCCAGAGAATGCTGAGCGGTGAGGGCAACTGCACCATTCCCCATGGCTAGCACACTTTGGGGAATGGCAGATAACAGAGGGGAAAATAGGAAGAATAATTTTTAAAACCTCCGTTCCAAACTCTATGAACTTTGATGAGCTATTTAAAAAGTTAGCCACAATTAGAATTTGTAATACTTGACTGATCCAAAGATTGAAGGAGCTGGGTAATATTTTAAAAAAATGACAAGCAGTCACTTATGCAATTGAGTTGCACAATAGAATTAAGAAATGGGTATGTATGTATGTATGTATGTATGTATGTATGTATGTATGTATATCCTGCCTTTATTATTTTTACAAATAACTCCAAATGGCAAATATATCCAACACACCTCCCTCCTCCTATGTCAAATATACTACAGAAATAAATGATTCTACCTGTTTTTAGTTTGCAGTTATGGATTCACTTATCTGGGAATGAATGAACTCAGTGAGATTTTATTTTCCCAGATATCAGCCTTCCATCCTTCCGAGGTAGGTAAAATGAGGACCCAGATTGTTGGGGGCAATGTAAATATATATATACATTGCTTACTGGTGTACACCGCTTAGAGAGTGCTTGCACTTAAAGCGGTATATAAGTCTCATAAATAAATAAATAAATAAATAAATAAATAAATAAATAAATAAATAAATCTTAAATAAGCTAAATTCCAATATTGTTTTTCAAAGCACAACTGCAAAATGAAGGAAAACAGGCAACATTTAATGGAGGAACAACCTGCCATTTCAACAGTCTGGCAGCACATTTCTGATGCACTGGAAATGCTTGAAATTCAACTCCTTTTCACAACATTTGAACGAACACTTCTTTGTAATAATCTAAAATGCAGACGTAAATAATCTTTATTCACTTCATCAGAAGACTCAGCGCTGGGAATACGTAGTGATTACATATGAGAGGTTGGTTTTCTATATGTTCTAAAAAAATGTCAGAAAGGTTCTACACGTTATATATTTGGGAGAGTTAGGATAGCAGAAGAATGTTTAATTTTGAAGGATTTGCTAGAAGAAGAAAAATCGTGACTCCTCAGCATATAAGACATGTAAATTTGGCAGAACCTGTAAAGGGATAAGTTTAAGGAACCAAACAAAAACTAATGAGACTTGCAATGTGGATTTCTAATAAAAACCTTTAATGTTTTCAATAAGGGCATGGGAAACTGGCTTGCCTTAGCTCTCTCCATGTTAGACAAGGTACAAATCAAAAATAAAATTAAAAATACTAATTATCCTCCAAAACGCTGGAAGCATTGTACAGTCAACATATAAATCTTGGTCTTTGCCGGATGCATCTTCCGGTGCAGGAAATGTCACGAGGGACAAAGTAAGACTGTTCTCAGTATAAGTTGAAGGGGACTGCAAAACGTGGGCTCTTTTTGTGTAGAAGCAAAAAAAGAAAAAAAAAGGTTAATGATAACCTTTGCTCTGCTTTGTTTCCAGGCTTCTGGAACATAAGGGGAAAGCTGGTCTAAACTTGTTGTTTATACTCTTACGATTTCCCCTGTTGTCATGAAGTCTTTTCCTAACTTCCTGCTCATTTTCTCAGGGGCCATCGCAAATGGTACAGGAACCCTGCTTTTATAAAGAAGCAGGAAGCCAAGGAAAAACTGAAGGCATGGAATGTGCCATAAAACATTGTCAGAAAGACAGGAAGGACGGATTACTTGAGAAACTGTTTTTGGAGACCCATCTTAGTACAATGATTCTGAACCATAGTAGCTGTCCCATATCAGATAACAGAGCTGAGCATTCAGAATCTGTGCCACACTAGGGAAAAACAAGCTGGAGGACTTACTACACAGGCTCAGATTTGCTTCAAAATTCAAAATATTTGTAGAGGAACTAGGTCAGGTTTCCATGACACAGTAACCTCTACATAGGTTAAATTCCAACTCTGCAACATTCCAGGAGATCAGCAAGATGGGGAAAGCCTCAGTTCTCTACAATGCAAATCACTATAATTCCCACAGATTTGGTCTGTATCCCAGCCCATCCTAAAGATTTGTGGGGGCAAATGTTTCTGTGAGAATGCAGTCCTGCAAGCAACATCTACTACTTCTGTGTGTGGATTAGGCAGGCTGAATATTTCATACCAAAAATTCCATTCTAAGCAGATTTCCTGGAAAGCAAATTAGCCTGGAGGAAGTGGATCTATCGCAGTTCATGGATTGACATGGCTACTAGTCATCATTCTGAAGAATTACTCTCTCTTTCCCTCTTCCTGGTGTTCCTATTCATTCCTATTATCTATAGGATAATGCCAGCATCTCTGGAATTAAATCTTTGTATCTTGCTATTTCCTCAGCCATATAATAATAGCAATAGCAATAGCATTTAGACTAATATACCACCCCATAGGTTGAGAGTTCATCCTAGGTAGCAGCAGATATTTCTTAGTGCACACACACATAAAAAAAAATCTGCTGCAAACTCCACATAGGTGTCAGAAAGGGCATCCAGCCAATAAATGCTCAGCTCCATCCAGTTGCCCCAACTCTATCTCAAATAGGGACTACAGGGTCATTAAAAAAAAAGGAAGTGCTTTACAGCAGGGCTTTTCAACCTTTTCACCCATTGTACCACTTTTAGCATATGGCAATATCTGAGTACCACCAGTTGCCTAGCAAGGTGTCAAAAACTTGATGACCCCCCCCAAAAAGGAAAAAAAGTGATAAAGTACAGGTAATCCTCAACTTACAACAGTTCGCTTAGTGACTGTTCGAAGTTACAATGGCACTGAAAAAAGTGTCCCCCAAGCCACAGCCGAGCAAGACACCTGCCCGCCCGCCCGGCAGCACTCTTCCTCCTGTCCGAGGTTTTCATTGTTGTGAGCGTTTCTGTTGAGGATTGGCAGCAGGGGTGGTGTGTGGGGGTGTTTGGTTTTTATTCCCCCTGTCTGCTGGGTGGTTGCAGCAGGTTTTGGTCACTTCACATGACCCTGGGACACTGTGACCGTCATAAATATGAATCAGTTGCCAAGCATCTGAATGTAAATCACAAGACCCTGGAGATGCTGCAACATTTCAGCTGATCGGCGCTTCTTCTGGGCTCAGCAGAAGCACCAGGATCAGTGCTGCTTTTCAGCTGATTGGTGCTTCTTCAGGGCTCAGGAGAAGCGCCAAGATCAGTGGCCGAGCTCCAGCTGGAGCCTGGCGCTTATCCTGGCACTTCCACTGAGCCCTGACAGTCCCGAAGAAGCGCCAATCAGCTGGAAAGCAGCACTGATCCTGATGCTTCTGCTGGTCCTGGCAGCCCTGCAGCTCCAGCCATCTCTCGCTTAGGCTTGTGCGGTACTGCCACCAGTTCAGCTCATTCCCCTCCCCCGCTACCACTTTCTTAGGATGGTCGCGTACCACCTGTCAGGTGCCAATGTACCACAGGTGGTACCTGTACCATTGGTTGAAAAGCCCTGCTTTACAGCACTCACTGGGCAACTTACAATGTAAGCATTATTTGCATATTGCCCCCAACAATCTGGATCCTCATTTTACCAACCTCAGAAGGATGGAAGGTTGAGTCAAACCAGAGCTCCATAAGGATCTAATTCTAGATTGTGGGCAGGTTTAGCCTGCAGTACTGCACTTTAATAACTGTGCCACTAGGACTGTTACTATAACATGATAATAATTGTGTTGTCTTCTCAGGCAAAGTTGTTTGAAGTATCCCTTCTCCAAAGTAAAGCAGCCTTATCAATCTTGTCCACTAAAGTTGGGTTCCACTTAGAATTATGAACCAAACCAACAAAATACTGTGGTGGTTTATGAGAGTTGAAGTCCAAGACAGTTTAGAAGGCAATAGATTTGGGAAGATAGTGATATTTAAGACTAAGACACAGAATGATTTCCTCCATACCTCTCTTTCATGGTGGCCAGAATCTTCTGAACTCCTAACGTTGAGGATGTGAACTTCTTGTGGCAATCCAGCAGTTCCTTTGCTTGCACAGCCAGATAAGACAGTAAAACTTTCTAGCAAGGCTTGGACAGGATGTGAACTGTTGACCTGAGACAATAGACAGCCACTTCTAGGCACAGGACCTGTAGAATAAATGGGAAGGAAGATTAATTTGAGGTGAAAGGCTGTAGCAAAACCTGAATTAGAGCAAAGTCTGAGCTATCTCACCAGCTCACACAAATTACATAAGGTACCAAGTTGATAGCATACCAGTTGCAAATGGAAGGGAAGGGATTAAGATGGGTACAAGAGGAAATTCTATGCATACTTCTTATTCAATGGAATTTATTGAAAAGTTCAGTGCCCTGATTTCTGCCTAAGGATGTAATCCTACCTATATTATACTGAGAATATGATCTGTTGAAAGCACTGAAACCAAGCTTAGAATAAGCCAGTTTCAGATTAGGATGTAACTCAAAACGCCTTCTTGGAAGTAAAACTATGGTAGTCATCTATCTTATTTTTTCTGCAAGAAGTAAACATTAAAATGAAAAATCTGTGGAATTATACCTCAACCCTAAACTGATGAGGAGTGTGTGATTGGAATTTATATATAGGATTATAGACTTAAGACTCACTTGAATTGCTTTGGACTGCATCCAAATCTTATAACTATAGCCTTCTACAATGCGGTCTTCCAAGGTAGTTAATTAGTCATTCAATTGTTCCTGGAAACAAACCAGCAACTAATGCGGTTCCTACAGTTCCAGTATTATTACCCAGCAATAACAGATTATCCCTGTTAGTATACTGAATATTGCATTATGTATTAGTTGTAGATCCTGGATAGTCTTCAAGGGCAGTCCTTTGTAGCCCAGTGTGAGGTGACAAGGGTTTGAATGCCTGTAGCCAATGTCTGTTGTTAAATAAATGACCAGGGTGCACCAGCCAAAGCAAACGTACTATACTAACATAATAAAGTAATATCTCAAAGCATGCTATGAGTAGGATAGATAGGTGAAATGCAAGGTGGGTTTTTTTAAAGGAGAACAAAGTAAAGATGCATTTATCAAATATGCAAATTGGGGAAAACAAGTGTCCTTATATGTTCACTGCACTTTTTTGTTGATGTTGCATTCAACTGAAATGCAACTATTACTAATCTGAGTTGGCTAAACACTGATAAGGTTTACCTTGACTGAATACCCATGTACTGAATCTAAAAGCAATTACCTTAGCTAATAACCACACTCTTTAGCACAAGAAACAGTGTGTGTCCTTCCAAATATCCCCTTCCAGCATAGTCTTGCACTCTTTTTTTTTTTAAGGCATTATCTTATGAGACAAAAATACAGCAGGAGAGCTGAAGGGCACAAAAGAGTTTTACACATTAAATATATCTGCAGGAAGCTAAAATGAGGCAAATATTTATAAAAAATGGACCTGGCTTCTCCCAATCTATATAGAAACCCACACTGCATTGCAAAACTCATTGAAAAAATGCCATGATTTTAGCTACTCCTTTCACATATTCTAACTCCAATTTGGAATTCATTCAGCATAGCTGAAACTTATTAATCTTAAATGGTAACTTTGGACTTTTCTTCTCTTCAGAAAAATCTACTTACTGGAGACTATTATTTACAGAGATCATACTACATTTACTACTTCTAATAGGAACTTGTTATTTGACATTTCTCAGCTTCCTGAACCATCTACAAGCACCAGAATAAAGTCAGTTAGTTTAAAGAGGCAGGCAATAGTTAATTTTTTGCTCCATTGTTTGAAGAGCAGCTGGTTTTGCTGTAATTTTCTATGGTTAAGGAATTTACAGAAGTTAATTATTGCTGCATTCTTTAATGCAACCACCTACTTTGAAAACACATTTATAATTTCTCATGTTGTTGTACATTGCCACGGGCACTATTCTCAGAAATGGCCTTTTCAAAATCTCATGCATCAAGAAATACGAAAATGAGCCAGTTTCTCCTAGACTTATATGGAGATGACAGGAATGAATTTTCACTACAAAGTCTATGCTCCACCACTGAGCAAAGACACTGAGTTCTAACCTTCTTGCTACAATAAAATGGTTACAAACTGCCTTACTCAGCTTGGCATCTCTTGCTCCTTTTATTGAAGAGGTTTTTTTTTTTCTTCTCAAATGTTGTCATACTTAGCATCACCAAAAGATACATTTGATTTTAAAAACTTAAATCTCTACAGGTAGGGTTTATCCCACATCTCTAAGGTATATTCCTTCATATTTCCACCATCATGGCTTGTCTTACAAGCATCTGGACTCAATCGTGGCTTGTCCAACATGCATCTGAATAGAACAAAAATAAAATAGGTACTTTATGCCCAAAACTATGAAGAAGGACCCTGAGGGCCTTCTTTGCTGCAGTCCCTCTGACTCCTTAGTGCAAAGATCATTTTTGGAGTCCATGCTGCCTGCCATACTCCATCTTAATAATAAATGGCTCAGGGTGTTATTAAATAAACAGGAAAAAATTCCCAGTAAGCTCAAAAGGAGAATGTTAAGATGTTGCAAATGACGAAGATGTTGGAAGGGCAAGTTTTCTCAAGCAACTGGGGTCATAAGGTCGAGGGAAAGATACTCTTCCCCATATAGTCCAAAAAATGTACTTTAAAAAAAACTTTCTCCCATAGATATGAATGGCTGTCATTCATTCTTTTGCCAAGTCTAGATTATATTTTTTTCTGTTTTAAAAAACACTTGGCTAGCCTGTTGTTTGATTATTGGTCTCCTGGTTACACTGACCTCTTTTTCTTCTTGAAAATTCCACTACTTATAGCACCATCATACTGATGACTATTCAGTTGATTTTCTAATAAGTACAAAAAGAAGTCAGCCTTAATGGGACACGATTTTCATGTATTTGTAATCATTGTTTTAATTCTTTTTTTTTTCCTCTCCTTTTCTACCATAAGCCCATCACAGTATTCTCTTGGGAATGGAAAATTATGACTTAAATCTTCCAACTAAGTTCCAGGAGGGTGAAGAAGATGAACTATCTGGGAGAGGGAGCAACTATATTACTTGCCCTCAGTAAAAACAGAACCTTATGTGTCCTTTTGGGTGTGTAAGAAATTATACTGGCAGAACTCAGAGACACATTGTGCTCACATTTTACTGTGACATCACTGAGGCCTATTTCCTGGTTCTCTGCCTTCTGAAGATGGCGTTTTATTTGTCTGGCAATGTCTCTTCTGTGACCTTCTTCTCCCTGAGAAATCTGCCTGATGTCAATTTTGTCATCACAGCACTAGAGAAATACTTTTGGCTGTACTTAAACTTTTTTTTTTTTCAAAGGATTCCATGATTATGATCTTAATGTTTTCTACAGGACACTACAAATATATCTTCCTTTTACTTGCTGGCATCCCTTTTTAAACAAAACACACTTAAACCTTTGTTATTTTCTTTTCTTTTATCGATGGTGCTCATTTTATCTGACGGTTAACAAAGATATAAGTAATTGGAGGAAAATTTAGTTTGTTTATTAATTAATTTAGAGGGAGTTCCTTCTGTCTATATTTGAACTCAGAGCAAAGCATGCTTAATTTTTGTCCCAATCAATGGTATATAACCCATTATTAATGTCTTTCTTACACCAGATATATTTTTGTTATTTTGGGGGGAGGGGGTAGATTGGGCAAAAAAAAAATGTTGCAAGCGCATTTTAAAGAACAGGAGCTGAAGGAAGGGAAATAATTTTGAAAGAGAGATGTAGCAGTCCAGAGAAGCAAATCTGATTGATTATACAGTGGTACCTCAATACTCAACTGCTTTGAAACTCATCGAATTTGGAACTCAGTGCATTTTAACGAGGTAATTTTGTCCAGGCACTTGTTGTTTGTTTGGTACTTAACCCGTGATCTAGAAGTTGTGGGTGTCGGTTGTCTCGTGATTCACTACCTTTTCCAGCCAAAACCAAGGAGAAAGCTTCAGTCATGAGGCAGCTCTTGCCCTGTGCAATCTTATCTCATTTTGTGTATTTTTGCACTTTTTTCTCATAAGAACAGGTAAGGTTTTTATTTCATTTAATCTAAGTATATATTAATTTTTAGGTTTTTCTCATGTAATGATATACAGCCCTATCTTTTAACACATTGCCTTAAAAATGTGCAGTGTTTTTGGTTTGGGAATGCATTAAATTTATTTATATTATTCCTCAGGGGAAAAAAATGTTTTGGTATTCATCATTTTTGGTACCCATCGTGCCTCATCATTTTTGATACCTCCTGGAACCAATTAACAACACGTACCGAGGTACCACTATATTATCCAGCACCATTTTTGCCCAGGATCCTAGACATCAACTAGCAATATTAGTATCAATTAAGTTCATTTTTAATATTAAAATTTAGCAAGGTGAAAAGTAACTCAGTTATGGAATGAGGAGGGGAAAGGGTGATGATTAAATACTCTCCCCCTTGTCACTGCATCTCAGCTGAAAATCACTGTCCCACTATTAGATGAGGTCCACATTTTATAGGCAGATGCCACAGTTGACTCATTACTAAGCTATGCTAGACATGAATGGCTCTAACTGCAGGAGTAGGAATTATATCTTCCAAACTAAACTATACTTTGTTTTTCATTTTCTGCTGAAGTTATTTTTGTTACACTTTTTTTTCACTTATTCCTCTGGGATTGCCATAGCCTTGGTTATCTATAAATGTTTGTGTGAGTCTGTGCCAAGGGAAGAAAAACAGTGGCCTTCCCAGCAGTTGTTGAGCAACAGATAGGAAACTGACCCACAACAGCCCAGATTGTCCATGCTGTTAAAAATGGAAGTTTTACCACATCGAGTCGGATGCAGGTTTTCTACTTCTGAAAACTAGACCATAAATTTGGTATATCAATTATTTGGTGGATTGGCCCAGTACAGTTGACTGAACGCCCTAATTGTTCTTACAAGCTTATATTTGTGAAAGCCAATGCTATATAATTGCATGCTGACCACCTAGGACTATGGTCTATGACTCATCTTCCCCAACTAACTGAATTCAGAATCAAAATAAACTCTTGCTATAGCAGCTTCCTTGTCCGTTGCCAAACCCTGTACCAACTGCTATGCAGAGCAGGCCAATATTTAACTCGAAGACCACATTC